ACAAGGCTTGAAAAGTTTCTCAAGATCATTAGATGCATTAAGGATGACCCTGCAGTACCCAATTAATCTAGTAGAAAATGACTTTTGAGTGCAACTAGGATCAAAGCTACTAACATTAGCACCCCTCGACTACCTGGCTCAGACTTATGCACTCTCAGTTTCATGACCTTGTGTCCCATCCAGTCAAGCCAATGGGATATTCCTGGTTAAAAATGTTGAATTTTCTGCTATATAGTGTGTTATGTTATGTGCACAAATTTGGATACTAGTTCATCATGTATGTGTACATTTAAATATTATATTTATATATATTCACATCAATGATTTTGATTAGATTTTTTTTCAGGTGTCTAACCTTTCCTTACCATATTTTATTATTTACTTTTCAAGTGTACTTCCATTAGATGTAAGAAGCAATTCACATTTTTAAATCGTCACCTAATTGCGCTGGAATACTGTAAAGTAACCGTGGATAGCAGTGGCAGCTAAGGCCAGTGAGGGGGTAAAAAACTACAGAAAAACACATTCCTCATTTGTCTGAATCAATAATTATTAATTCAGGAGGCTGTGTTTACTTTTATTAAAACAAATACAGAGCCACAACATGTGCAGAGTTATCTATCATGTTCAGAGTACAGTTCAAGTGCCTTTGTGGCTCTAGCAGATGTTTTCTCACGCACTATGCAGACTAAAAAATCCAACATCCATCTTGTTGGCAGCAATTTTGTCTTAAATCATCTTACATACTACATACATACAGATACTGATTATGCTCCCATGGTTAACCACGCAGTAAGATATAAGGAGGACTGGGGGGGGGGTGATTTATTTATTTATTTTCTAGGGTGAGATCAATTTCTGTGAGGACAGTCAATCTCCATCTTTTTAATTACAATAATGAATAACTTGTCATCATGTACTCCATTTCTGTGACGTATGAGAGAGTGAAATTGGGAATTGTGGGGAGAGTAGCATCAAGTCGGTATTGGACAAATTCCAAGCAATAACTCTGCCTATATGGATATTTTATGAAACATCTAATGGACATGAAGATAATTGATGGTCTGTGTAGTTGATTCCACATCGAAATGTTCTGCAAATAATAATGAATGACTACTTATTCACATGGAAAACCTGCTAAAACACTACTAGTTTCTGAAACACTAGTACACAGTGACAAGGACAAGCAAGTGTAATAGTCCTACATACTGAAGGATATATTAGCATCAAGTGGACTGACCACTTGAGTTATACAATTCCAATAGACCTAAAAATGCTGTTCCAAGAAGTTTAGATTATCTTCTTTTTATATTCAACAAAACACTTAAACTCCTACAGTGAGTCAGCATGTTTCCACAGCACCGTTTTCTGGAGGAAAAATGTATTTTTCTAACAAAATTGAATGTTCCATGTGGCGGCCCAGGTCTTGCCATCTATAGAGCTCCTGCCAGTAAATCAGAGAATTGTATGGTCGCTGCTGGCCCCCTACTCTCCTTTTTTCAAGCCACTGATCACAAGCACAGTAATTTTACAATGGTCACTTGCTTCATCCCTACTGCATCCCTTGCTCCGACAGTCCGAGACAGCTGACACAGCATTTATCTTGCTAAGCAATTTGAGCATGCAGACCAGCTTTTGTTCATTTCTCACTCAGTACTTGTTAGAGGGAAGGCATTATGCACAGAGAAAATGGTGCATACAGATGAAAAACGATGGTTAGGAATGAGCATTACGGTACGTTTTAAATTACTCTTATCTGTCACTCCTCACAATTTTCTACAGGTTAGTGCTATGCAGGTGGGTACACACCGTTTACACTGACCAGCATCTTATGGATATCAGTATACTAGGCATGGAATATAAATAATTCCGCTTTTGGTGTCTTTTATTAACTGCACGGACCTTTTTTTCTCATAACAGTGACAAAGAGCGGAGTGCATGCATTGTCTATGAATAATCACTGATCATGTAGCAGCCCTTTCATTGTATGTGGAAAGATCCGTCTCGGCTACACGGCTTTGACTGTGCCATTGCACCATTCCATACAAATGGAAATGATGCATTCTGTTTTTCCGTCACAGGAGAGCGGCTTCCCATTTTCCGCTCACACTGTCAAGTTGTGCACAGCTGCATAAGTTTGCACACTTGTGTGTGGGGCACAGGAAATGGCTGTTGACAGCATAATGGGAGTATGAGGATGCAATATAAATCCTTAATCATGCCTGAATCATGAACTACAGCACTCAAATCCACACACCATTCTGCTGGAACTACTGCTGGCAGAAAGTCTAGAACCTGTGAGGTGCTGTGCCTACATTTTCTGGTATTTATTTTGTTTACTTATGGTTTTAAAAGTGTGTGTAAAAGAAATCAAACTGTACTAATTGTCTAGTGACAGACATCCTTGTGAGAAGCTCTCACAGAGGCATATCCATAAATGAGATCAAATACCACTTCACTGAAATCATATTCCAGACATGACACCCAAAATGTGCTGTTCCTTCTTTCCTCAATCCCTTCTTGTCATTCTCAATTACAAAGCAAATCAGGACGACCTTAATTCAAAGACACAAGTCGCATATGAGTCAGGTCATCTCAGAGTTAATCAAAACAGAGTTTAAGAAAAAAAAGTGTACTAAGGGAACCCGTACGTCATGCCGTGGCCTGGCAGATTTGACTCGGAACATCATTACGTTTCAGGGTTCGCCTTTCATGCAAATCGCTTCTCTAAGCCTGGAAGTTCATTACTAATGGCACTTCCCATCAAGTTAGAGGCCCATCCGAATACTAATATCCCCCAGTACTTTGGATTTGTCACCTCGAATCCCCTCTCCTCATAGCATGGCAATTACAACAATGTGCTTTTCCTTCATGGAATTAGGCATCACCCCCTGTGGCGAGCTTCCCACAACAGATGCTTTGCAGTCGTTTCCACAGACCATTGGAGCCCAAATGAACTAAACGAACAGTCACTTTGTATGTATTAGGCCTGGTGTAGTATCACTTATCTTTTTTTGCTTATTTATTTATCTCTCCAATCCATCCAAAAAAACATACTTGTGTGGAAGTTTTCTGTTTCTCCACTAAAAGGGCCAAAGAAGAAAAGAAATCTTTTTTGCCAGTCATGGTGACAGACCAGACTTAAAAAAAAAATGTGCAGTGGCATTTTTCAGACTGCACTTTATGTCATGTGGAATGATGAGTAGCAAACCAGCAGTGCTGTATTTATTGTACTGTACGAAGTAGTAAAAGCAGGGCGCTTTTTGGTCCCCTAAATAATATATAATGCATCTCTGAGGTAACCTTGTGTTACCTCATACAGTACACTGCTATCCCAGTGCACTGCCAGCTTTCTCCCAGCTTTTCGAAAGTCAAAGTCATCTTTAGGTTGGGTCTTTGAAAAAGAAGGAAATCGCTGTATTATGTATGTCTACAACTTAAGGCAAAGACTTAAATTAAATGGCTTGCTAGAGTTTATTGTATTATAGTAAGCCTTGATATCCTTGTCTGTGGCCAGCACTGTGGCATCATTGTTTATATTCGATTTTCATCTCGCTTCCTTTCCTTTGTCTGTCAAGCTGTGACTGCTAGCACTGCTCGTAATGATTAGTCAGTTCATTTATTCATTATTTGCTTTTTAAAGGCACCGCTTCCAGAGTGCGTAACAATACATTTTTTTGCTAAGACCTACCAGACACCAGATGTCTAGCAAATAGAAAATGCTCAAACTGGGTATAGGTTGAATCCCTGCTGTGTCATAGCAACGGTAGTGAAATGTAGATAGATTGATATAAAAATCTTGCAGATCATTTACAGTGGCAATATTTTGGGTTTATATGTATCCACAGGAGGTATTGTAAGGAGGGTGAGCGCACCAAAGCCGAGAAAGAAAAAGCTTTTTCCTGTTTTTCATTTTTTTTTTTTTTTGGTCCG